AATATAAAATTTTGTTAGGAAGATTATTTGACGACGACACTACGACAAATGATTATTGAATATATCGAAACATTTAATGTGTACATTCTATTAGTGATTTATCGTTTTATTAGAATAATATACTAGAATATCAGAATAATTAGTAATGGATTTGACTGTTTGAGGGGATGGGTCCCTAATATAAAGCGAATGAACTCGTTAGTGTTTGTGTGGAAGATTCTAGAAAGGATGAGTGTATGAAAGGAAGTAGGCATGAGATTCGGGATCTTTTTCGGCGAATGACATCAACGGAGGCGGAACTCTGGTAGTCGGTCGGTGTGTATTCAAGTAGAAGCAGAACAAGGGCGAAGCGCTGAAGGAAAATCTGGCGATATGAGTTTGAGCATAAACAGAGCTGAGTGGTTTAACAGGTTTGGGTTCAGGGCTTCCGCATTGGACCACAAGTAAGTGCTATTAGGGAAAGTAGTTTTATCATTTTTTATAATTTTCTGACATAGATATGAAAGTAATATACGATACGTTCTTAGTAAATAATTTAATCTTGAAAATTCACAGTAATTCACAGTAATTCAAAATACTATGCATGAATGATGGATGACGAATTTTGAAGTATCCTTGAAATTGATAGACAAACCCTACAGCGGTATATTATTTCAGATAAATTCTAATAAGGGGTTATTATCAAGTAGGATTTTTGTGTGTTTTTTATCATTAATTACTTTATAAGTATGTCTTTCAGGTGTTTTATATTATACTATCAATTTATATACATAACATACTACTCAAATAACACATAACTAACCTGAGATAAGAAAATATGACAACTTTGAATTAAACTAGTCTGTTTTATAATTCTTATTTCAATTTCGATCGGTTCAGATTGGAATGAGAATTCTTGTGTTTCACTTTTCTCTTATTTGGACTCTTTTGAGTCTGTTCATACTATTTTTATTACTAGGTTTTCATAGTTTAAGAAGTCGCAATATTGGGTTGTTCCAATTATTCGTTAATATCGTAGGAGTTGTCCGCCAATTGAATGTATGGTTCGGTGAGATACCAGTATCAATGACGTCTATCCTAGACGCCTATACTGGGTCAGGACGGTGATCTCCACCAGTATCAGAAGTGTGAGAGATAGCTCGGTTGATTACTTGTGCCATCAGCTCAGTGGAGGGCAAATAAGCCTGTTATATTGACAAATAATTATGGGGCTTCGCTTTATTGTGTTGTTCTGATGTGGTACCTAATGTTCCTAGACGTGTGTTCCATATTGGTGAGGTCCTGTGCGATATCGTGTTAGTTGTCTCCTTATCCCGTACTGGAGTGGTCAAAATGGCACATTCCCCGTGGTACCGGTGGACGATAACTAATGCTATGTCAAACTATGTTCCATTGTCTTTATGGAGGACATCAGTCTGGGTATATTAACGAATCACATAGGGTTTTCTTTTGCTCTTTTGCAGAGCAATTCTTTTTTTTTGTGGAGGTGTAGTTTATTTTCTGGTTAGAAAGGTATTCCTTGCTGGACCGGTTAGAGTTGATAATGGTTAAGGGGCCATGTGGTGGGCCCTGGGCTTTGAGCGTGGATGGTCCTCGAAAGCACTTGAAACATCAGCAATGCTGTATTTATTTTCTTTTCTTTACATATTTTCTGGCATTATTGTTGTTTACTTACTTTATTACCTTTCCTATCTAAAATATCCATTCTATAACTTTCTTTTAATTATTTAAGCTTAATTTAGGAAACAATCATTTCTTATATTTTATTTGTTTACCAAAGAAAAAACATTTACTTTTATTATTTTATACACAACTATATTTTATCATCTTTTAGTGTTATTTTAATTTATTAGTTTAAGATCTAATCTTCTCCATGCCCTCACTAACATATACTCTAACCACTCACAATCAGCTTCATACAAAGAATCTAAGGTTACTACAAATATAATACACAACGAAGAGTCCTACCACTAGACGATCACAACTTTATAATTATGGCCAAATAATTAGTTGATATTTATTTTTATTAAAGATTTGTTTTACTTAAATTCTTTATAGGCAGTTAACTATTTATTAATATTAGTGTGTAAGGGGGGGTGTTGTTACAAACTCTATAATCTGAGGAACTGCTGGAACGTATTGAATTAATTTTTTGGTGTTGAATGGATATTCCGTTTATCGAGAAAGGCTCTAGATTATATATCATCATGCTATGGCTTATAGGAGTGGCTGACTAACCTTGAGTAATTGATATAATTAAGGGTAACAAAAAAAAACATTGGTTTGGTGAGTTACTTTCAAAATCTTGAGCATAATGAAAACAGGAAATAATAAATAAATTTTAACTCTTTTTAGAACAAATTGCTATTGATTGAAATTAAGTAGTTACTAACTCAATGAATTTTCACGAACTCTCATTCATAAAGAACATATGCGGAAACCTAAGACGAAATAAACGGTGGGAAGACGCACCGTTATAACAGGAGAATATTTTACTATTTAAAGCTTTCCTTGAGTGAAAGTTACACAAAAATCATGTATTACAAAATTGATCCCCTTTTGAAGTTATAAAGAAAGTCCACGGCTGTATATATCAGTCTTATATCGTATCCCGTAAAAATCACATAAAGGGATCAAAATGGGAGTGTTAGTTCCTATAGTGCATTAAATCGTTACCATAGAAACCATTGCTTACAATTCAATTTGTCATTGTAGTTATACTCTCTAATTCTTTTCCAAATCTATTAGTAATTATTAAAGCCTTTTAAGCAGGATTAAATAATGTTTTGATTAATTCAATTCGGTACAATCTATTAAAATATTCGTTAAAATGTTTGTTAAGTACACGAAAATTCAATCTGCGGTTATTCCAATAACATAATTTAATGGGGAATTGTTAATCATACAAAAAAAATAATGTAACATTAAGCTGTCGCTACTGATCACTAGATGAAGCTACTGAGCTTTTAAATTTGTATTTTGATTTTTATGTATGAAATCTTTATTTTTTTCTTATTTTTGTAAAACAAAGTAGATTTCGTTTTCAATTTTGCGAGTTTTCAAATAACAAAATTTAATGGGAAATTGCTAATCTGGTGAAATAATAAAATGATACAATTGGCTTTGTACACTAAGTGACGCTACTGTATTACGTGATTTTGATTACTCTAATATAAATCGTCTTTATTGTTTTTCCAATTGTTATCAAAGTTGCTTTCATTTCCAATTTTGCGATTCCATATTCAACAAAGAACCCTTATAGTTTCGTTGTGTCTGTCTGGTTGTCCGTTGGTCTGCGGTTTAACTCAAAAACGACTTGTGTTAGAAAGGTGTAATTTAGCATTGTTTACACTTTAATCGCACCTATAAAGTGGTAAAATAAAATCTTTAAAAATTGTTGTTTGAAACTTAATGTTACGACAGGAATGTATATAATGAAATTAATAAGAAAACTATAAACACTTAAGGTGGATTTATAAATTTACGAGTAATTGTCGAGCAAATGTATTTAACTCAAAACAATTTTAAAAACAGCAAACCTTTTTATTTGCGTTTATTTTTCGATAAACCACTATCCATAAAAAACGCCAAAAATCAGGTTAATTCAGCGTTAGCACGCTTGCCCGGTTTTTTAATAATATATTTTAGTGGAGAATAATACATCGAACGACAAAATAATATATGGGTAACTATTAACGACATGATTTAATACTCAATTGAAGGGCGTTAATTATGTTTGCGAAAAATGAACTAAACGGTCGATAATTATGAATAACTAAAAATAGCAACAAAAATTCAAAGTATTAGAGTTAAATAATAAATTCGGTGAAAAAACTACTGAATAGACGAAATTAAATTGAAGTGATGACAGAATATCCGTCGGCAAAATTTCACGCATATCACGCACTAAAATATCTTAACTCACTCTCACTAAAATTGAAAAAGCAAGAACAAGCTGACCATCAAGTCGCCATAAGGATCAGGCGTAGAATAAGACTTCAATAAAAGGACTATTATTTTAAATAGAACATTTGTTAGTATTTTTTACAAAGCGTGTCGATTCTACTGCACACTCAAATGGCAAGAAAGCGTCTGGACTACTATACGAACACATGTGCGTTATACACAGAAATACCAGTAGATTTTCCATAATTGGTTCCATCTATTGGGCAGACCTATGTCCCAGCAGTGGCTAATGATGATGATAAAAGGTGGATTCTTATTGGCAGATTTTTAATTAAGGTTAGCTTAAAACTACAGTATAGCATGCCAATGGGCACACAAGACCACGTGGGCGAAGCCACGGGCTACAGCTAGTTTATTATATAGGGCAGAAGACTTGATTTTATTCACTTGACACTTCATGGAGTTCTTACTTACGCATAGGCATTTGTCAACGTTCACTTCCTCATAATAGGCTACTTGACAAGTTTTCTTTTGTTTTGTAAATAAATAGTTTATTAATATCAGAGAAATAATGTAGGAGTAACAGAATGTCTGCGATAGTAGTTCCGGAGATACGGGGCTATGTTTGTGGAACTGCTGCATGTGGATCGGAAACGCTCCCTCAAATTCAAGTGACGTCATACAGTGCTGAGGTAGTGAAAAGACGCCCCTACGGCAATCTTTGTTATATCTTTATTATTGCTGTCATAATGAAAGTTGTTATTATATTTTCACACCTATTTTCAAAGCATAATATTTTCCAAATAAGCGTTATAAAATTTATTTTGTTATCTAAATATATGTATATCAAAATGTTTCATATTTTCCGAATATATTACAGAAACCTGTATTTTCGTAGGACACAAGCCTATTCTTGAAATGGCTAATACTAGCTCATCTGCTATATGACTGTGTTGTACATTTAGAATATAATAAAAAACTGGGTACGGGAAGATTATTTATTTATATAATATCGGCGATATATAATCATCAGTGGACGATGCTGTAAAAGAGTAATAAAACATGTTACAGAATGTCGAAGTCATAAAAAGTCGAAAGGAAGCCTGAATGATAGTGGTTTAATACTAGTCGCTTATTTAAAAAGAACAGTTATTCAAATTTGACCAAGACTCGTAACTCGTCTAAAAAAGTTATTAAAAATCCGAATTTGTTTCGAAAAATGAGATAAAATTATTTAGATGTGTTATGTCTTAGCTGAGTAATAATGTTCAATATAATAGTGAGAATGTACCTGCTCTTGTTATTGTAAGGGAGTTACTCGGTTTGCTCTTCGCTGGCGGTGTTTCTATTTAAAGCGTTATTAATAGCAGTTAGAAGAGGGAATTTCCCTGCACCGCAGATATCGTGGAAGTCATCTGTATCGATACTCCAGATCGAAACTCCAGCTAAATTTTTACTTGTGGCATATGCCACTTTGTCTCTTATGGACTTAAGATCGTCATATGATACCCATTCAACACCCCTAACAGCATATGGTACTTTCGCCAAAGTATCCCTTCGCTCAGTCCAGGATGGAGTATGTTCTGTATGTAGTTTGTTGCAAAGCTGTTGATAGAAATTTAAGAATTAAAACTTTTGTTATGTGCGGTAAAATTAAAAAAAAAAATTTATATCACACACGATTTTGAACTTTACCTCGTTATATCCAATGTCGCCTCTGTTGATACCAGCTCCACTAACAGGAGCTCTTACACCATTCTCATTGGCAGATCTCAATGTGAATGTGTGTCCAAAGAAGGGTACACTGAGAACTAGTTTCTCCGGTGGGCAGCCTTTAAGAAAGGAATATTTTATGAAGATTTCATGTCCCAAAAATACCGAACTCTTGTAATGTCTATCTATCTGTCCGTCCCCGTCTATTTTTTACAACTATATTGCTTGAAAAATATTAGACTGATACAAAGAAACTTTGTCTACAGTATAACGTAAAGCAAACCCAAATTAAACTAATTATATTATTAGTGTAGTTAAATTTGGAGATAAGTCCGTCAAAACTGATTATTATTCTGATCAAATAGTAGGTCCTTACATATGAAATTGGCGTTTTGTCGTACTGGCCACTTTAATTACAAATTTCTCCTCCTTGGTTGGGAATTCTAAATTCAAATTTATACAGCCATTTACACGTGTATTTGTGGGTTGTTAGGCGGTATTCGTTTGGCTTTTTTTTCTTCTGTTTGTCCTATTTACGTCACCCAGCATAAATAATAGAAAATTTGAAATATCGTGTTATTTACGAGTACGAGTTCCACCGTGGTACCAGTGCTGCGGAAACGGCTCGAAGGGTTAATGATGTGTATGCCGGTTGAGTTGCAAAAGAAAACATAGTGCGTTTTTAGTTCCAATGTTTTCATTCTGGAAATTTCGCACTGCAGAACAAGTCCCGTGGACGGCCAGTGACACAAGTTAATAATTAAAAATTGAAGGCTATTGTGAGAACGGATCCATCGCAAACCACGTCCGGGTGTTAGTGATAAAAGTGTTTTAATCCGCTTGAAGCTAATTGGAAAGATTAAAAAGCTTGAAAGGTGAGTACCTCACGCATTGAGTGAAGCAAAACGGCAAACGCGCTTCGAATGCTGCGTTACATTGCTTAACTGGCACAATAATGAAGGGTTTTTAAAACGAATCATTACCTGTAATGAAAAATGGATTCTCTACGATAATCGAAAGCGCTCATCGCAATGGTTGGACCCTGGCATGCCAGCTAAATCCTGCCCCAAGCGAAAATTGACCCCAAAAAAGTTACTTGTAAGCGTTTGGTGGACTAGTGCCGATCTCGTTCATTACAGTTTTCTCAAATTTGGCCAGACGATTACGGCAGACGTCTATTGTCAGCAATTGCAAACTATGCTAGAAAAACTAGCTGTTAAACAACCGAGGCTGGTCAATCGCTCTACGCTACTGCTACTTCATGACAACACACTGCACAGCAGACGGCTACCAAATTATAAGAGCTTCAATTGAAATTTCTAAGACCTTCACCGTACTCCCCGGACCTTGCTCCAAAAGATTACCATTTTTTCGAAATTTGGATAACTTGCAAGGTTGGGTTTGCATTACTCCGTTGGGTCAGTGCAAATCGCCTTCAAAGATTTTATTGATTCCCGTTCGAATGGTTTTTTTTAATAAGGGGATCAATGAACTACCTATGAGACATCAAAGTGCATAGATAACAATGGTTTATACTTTGATTAAATAAATATATTATATTAAAAAATATTAGACTGTTTGTTCCTCCCATACCATACACGAATTTCATATGTAAGGATCTAATATTATTAAATCTTGTAACATATATCTATAAATCACCTGCTTGCAGCCAACGCTCCACAGCTACATCGACAGTTAATAAAGTATTTCTGTCAACACTTTCATCGAGTCCTTCTCCTTTATGCAGTGGTGCATTATGTCCAGTGACCATATCCCAAGGTCCAGCCAAGTCATATGACATCAAATATATGTAATCTACATGTCTGAAACAAAAAACTTTTATAAAAATTTAATTCATATAAAACTATTATCGACACAAAAGCAGAATTAGAATAATTCTTCATTTTAACACCACAAATAATCTTATTAGGCACAGTAAAAATTATATTGTAGTAACTCATTATGGTTTTGGATCGCTGATGCCTGTTTTAGGTGATAAAAGCATGTCTGAGTAGTGGAGAAATTCTGCTATGTTTACATAATATACGCACATCTGTGGAATCTCAACTACTTACATTTTGCCATTATGCTAACAACCTCAAATCCAATATTTTAATACATCTGTCACCATGGATTTGTGAGGACGACATGGCACTAATAATATTATACTTCAGGTAGATGGTGCAATGGTAAAATGCAAGAAGTTAAGAGTTTATTGAGATGCGATTATTACATATCCTCATGTACAAGCTACTAGTACAGAAAAGACAGCCCGTCCACATTCAAATTATGCATGATAATGCAGCAACGATACACCTGCAACCAACTTCAAATATTCTAAAACTATTTCAGACCCAGAAAGTCTATCTCCGAGTGATGATCATATATATAATTTATTAAGATAAGTAAATTAAATAAATACAATAACTCACGCTGCTATAAAAGGCACATCATAAGATGAAGCTACTGCATATGCATGTGCAGCCACAGCAGTGACTAGTATTAAGCCAAATTTGTTAAATTCTTCTTTAATTTCCTTCAATAGAAGATTGAAATTTTCTTTATCCGCCTGACCATGAGGACTATTACGACGATTTGGATACAACCAATCTATATCTATGCCGTTGAAATCGTAATCCCGAATAATTTGGAGAGCACTTTGGATGAAATTCTTTCGCAAAACAGGACTGGCCGCCATCTAAAGTGAAATATAAATTAAATTATTATATTGACAGGTGCACTATCCATATATGAAACAACTTTAAAAAATTTCATTGTGTTTTTATTGTATTTATTTGGTTAGATTTTGACTAAGGTGTTGTTTGTCTTTTTAATTAAGAGAATAGCTACATTCACAACACAAAAAGATATGGATACTTTTACATTATTTAAATTAAATTATCAAAAAAAAAGCTACCATAATCTACCATCAGTTCCAAATTTGGGCGCCATGTCTAAGAAGAACTGGTGAACAAACTGCGAAAAGAAAAGTGAATCGCTCCCTTTGATATAATATTTATATTTATAGACTGAAACAACTGTATTTTTTGGTTTTGCAACGTGTCATCTGGATTGAGATTTTATTTGACTGTATGCTATATGCCTATGCGTCAACTTTCATCTATATTAAAATACGTTTTTTTTAAAGTAAGTTCATTCTGTACATATGAAATCAAAGGGAACAATTCATGTCTTGTCGGAGTTTATATCGCCAGTCCTTCTCAGATAATTTGAAACTGATGGTAGATTACGGTAGCCAGAAGTAAATAAATAAGTCAAATGTATTTTTTGAAATAAATAAATTTAATAAATGTGAACTTTTCCATTTTTTTTTTGTATTTTGAATGTGTCCAATATTATTGTTTTGAAGGTAGCTATAGTCTTAATTAAAAATACTATCAACACCGTAGTCTTAAGTGAACACAGAATATGTAAAGAGTCCGAATCATTAATTAAACTAAATAAAAACGCGGTGAAACCGTTTCATTTACGAAATATAAATTATTTTAGTCTGTGCACTTCTGGGCTGCCAAGACTTGTAAACATATAATTTATATTAAAATAAGTATTACCAATGCATTATTTTAAATATTTTCTCATTATTTGGATGTATGCGTCATAAATGTAAAACAATATTCATGGTTTACTGACTTGCGACCGGTTCTATTAAAACCATTATGAAAATAAATAGCAAACAATTTATATGAGATAAACATGAATTTTTCATTTTAATTATGTTCATAGGTAGAATCATAATTCCGATATTTTTTCAATTTTAACTATATATTGCTGCACAGTGGCTCGGAGTAGGTCGGTGGCATAGTGGATAAGCGCCGTGGACCGCGGTCGCTGTCGTTAAGCAACTTTCGCAAGGGTCGGTAACGGGATGGGTGACCAAAAAAAAATTTGTAATACTTATTTATACCGAATAACCAATGAACTTCATACAATTATAATTATATGATTTTAATAGTCCTTAAACTCCAATGTAAGTTGGAGCTAGCACATTAAATCTTGTATCTGAAAATTATTTCACTTGATGAATTCGGTTTGTTATTTGGTACCAATTACTAAAGGAATGGAACTCGACTTGATCTAAATCATCAACTTTTATAAAAATACTGTTTCCTTTGAGTTTGTATACTCATGTATTCTTATTGTATACTCACTTCAGAATATTTAAGTGATCCTTCATTCCAACCTCCTACACCCAGAAGAGTCTTAAGACTGGGACTTTTCTTTTTCAATTCATTGAAATTTTTGTAGTTGCCTGTAATAAAGTTCATGATAAGTATATAAAAGCAATTAAAGTTATGACGATTAAGTCAAGAGTTTTGTCGAAATGATCAGGTTAACAGATTTTTCTTCACATTCTTTTATATCAGCTCCATCATGAATGCTCGTCGTTTCTTACTAGTTAATATACTTTTATACCAAAAGAGTAACGTTGTTGATCTGTTACTACACAGAAAATAAGGGTATTTTTTATTTTAATTAGCTTAACTACCACAATAGCACACTAGCACCCGGTTTCTGAATTAAGAATCTGAAGTTGAGCACGTCTCAAACCGTGATTAAGCCATTTTAAACGTCATTTAAACAGGTTTTCATTACTGATTTATAATTTTTTATGATCAGTTCACAGCAATTTGAAAAAGCTAAGACTTTTTGCCATATGAAACGTACAAAACTTAAGTTATTGAGAATAATCAGTTGAGATTTTGTACTTTTCTCAATTCAGAAACCGGTCGTAAATGTACTAATTATTCACACAGTTTTTAAATGGTTGCCGTTCTTATTGAATAGTACAGAGTCCGGCGATTCCAAAAGAATTAAATATCAATTTACGGCTTTATCTGTAATCAGTATTATTAAAGTATTACTTCTTATTGTTACCTCTCCTTAAGTCGAGTTGTGGATCGATGGATACAATCTCTCCATTGGAGTTGAGACCCGCGAATGCGTAGACGAGATGCGAGCATAGGTGTGGGTTAACGTTGTGCACATTGAATGCTCTCACACCTGGTCTGTATGTTGCCCAGGCGCCGTAGTAACAGGCCACGACTTCTACAAACAATCGATTTTTATCTCCTTTACGTATGTTAAATGTCTATGCATAACATTTCTTAAAACAGATGTAATAAATAACAAAATAAAATATCGTTCTTTCTTTATTCCCTTGTGGAAATGAATTCAGTATGATTATTTTTCAACATCGTTTTTATGAACTGAATTTTCAGTGAAATCCCAAATTTCACTAATATGTTAACAACTCTCACAATTGCTGACAAATTTTTACAAAATATTATATTTTACATATTCTTATATTTATGAACTATAAATTTGTTGAGTTTGACAGTTAAATTAAATTCTTACTTTCATTCGCGTGAACAGCACCAAAAAAACTCAATAACGCTATTATGCCAAAAGAAATCATCTTGTTTCGAACTAATGAGATCTCTTGAATGAAACACTGAAACACGACACACTTATATATAAAGCGATTAAAATCTTGTCATGAAATTTTAATCATAATTTTGAATTATATCAGATAAATATTATACTTAATTAAGGCAACGTTTTACGAAATTGCCAATTTTATTGCAGGGCTATGCCAATATTTGCCGACGGCGGCAGACGAGCAGACGGATCACCTGATGGTAAGTGATTACCGTCGCCCATTGACACTTGCAACACCAGAGGGGCTACAAGCGCGCTGCCGGCCTTTGAGGGACGAATATGATCATAGAGAGGGAAGGGTTGAGGGGTAGAGGGAAGGGAATAAGGAGGGGTTGGGCCTCCGGTACCCTCACTCACACGACGAAACACAACGCAAGCGTTGCTTCACGTCGGTTTTCTGTGAGGCCGTGGTATCACTCCGGTCGAGCCGGCCCATTTATGCCGAAGCGTGGCTCTCCCACGATTCAAAAAGGTTAAATACCTCGTGTGTTCATTAGTTATGAGATTATTTTTTACTGAAAAAATAAAATAACATATTACCTACTGGCTGTTACATAAAAAAGAGTTAAATACCTCGTGTGTTCATTAGTTATGAGACTATTTTTTACTGAAAAAATAAAATAACATATTACCTACTGGCTGTTACATATTTTTTTTACCGATTTTGAATTTGGAATGTTAACTTTTAGTTTATTTGTATCGCAAATTCATTTGTTTATATTTTCTTGTGATGGAGGGAATGAAACAATTATGTGCGACTCTCATTTCGCTATTTAAGGCGGGAAAAAAACCAATGCATATTTTCCGCGAGCTGAAAAGTTTCCCTGTAAGCCGTAACTTCGTCTATTACACAATACAGCGGTACAAAAAGACAAGTTCTCTGCAAGATCGCCAAAGAAGAAGAAGAAGAAACATTTATTGACCTCACAAAGACACAAACAAGATAATACATTATTAGGAACACATAAAACACAATAAAGATACAAAATAAACAATAAGGTACATAATGAATAAAAGAAGTAGTCGGCAACGTTTTGTAAGGATGCCTGCAAAAATCAAAATCATCCTAGAGCGATTTCACCGAAATCCATGTCGCACTCAAAGAAATAATACGGAAATATGATCTTAAGGTAAAAGGTAAAAGTTCACTTTTTAAACGATCGTCTTCGTAAGTTACGACGCGAACGTTGTACATTACTGCTGAGGAGTCATGATGACAGGATGATACTTTTCAACGGTGAGAAATTTTTTCGAAGAAAAATTCAACCGAAAAAACAGTAAAGTGTACCCTAAAAGTAGCAAGGATGTCCAAGCTTCTGCACGGAATGTCTCACGCACTCATCATCTGGCTAGTGTCACTCCGCTCCATTTCTGCCAACAAGGTGTTAAGGTGAAAGCTAAGAATTATCAGAGTGACATTTTAGAGCCAGTGGTGAAACCCCTGTCTGATATGTTATTTTACAATATGGATTGGGTTCTCGAGCAAGACTTGGCGTCATCCCATAAGGCAAAAAGCACCCAAGCTTGGTTGAAGGAGAATGTGCAGGCCTTCATCGCGGCGGGCCAGTGGCTCTCCTCGAGCCCCGACCTCAACCCACCGCATTATTCTTTATGAACTGAATTAGGAGCTCAAGGCCTGCTGAAAGTCCCACCCAAACTTGGAGTTACTGAAACGAGCTCATGTTCGAGAAGGAAAGCGAATTCCACTAGAAAAGATTCGTGCCGCCATTGATGACTGGCCAAATCTTCTAAGGGCCTGTATTAAAAACAAGGGCGGTCATTTTGAATAAAATATACAATTTATTGTTGATATTTAATGTTACTGAAAATTTCAGAAATATAAGTTGATTATTAAATAGTTATAACATTTATTTCGTCTCAAAACTTATAAATACACGAGGTATATTTTATAATGACCATTATTGATTTAGAATAAAGCCAATGTAAATATTATTCAACATTAGTTCGTTTTCGTCTGGAAAACAATTATTAAAAATTTTTAATAAATGTGGTAACTTAAAAATAGTCAAATGTGCCAAAAATGTACACATATATGGATGTGTACATTTTTGGCACATAGATTTAAATAATATTTCAGGCTTTTATATTTATCACCAATTTGGTAAACAATACGTTTATTAAAAAAACTATTAAACTTAAAAAATTGATTAGTTGTAAATCGATTTGGGTAATTGAATAATATTCAATGACTCAAAATTCATATTGATTTATAATGTCATATCTCTAGTCTTGTACTTTGACGTCACGATACGCGCCAAAAATTCCGGCGTTTAAACTGCTTCTAGTTGTTACTCATTTTCATCGATTATTATTAATATTAAATTTTATCTTTTTAGTACTTGGTATTTTCTTCAGTTAAATAACGATATTAATTGTCATATGAAAACTTTAAAATAAATGTGCTAAGTCCCTATTGACTTGATATAACAAAAAAATCGCAATGATGACTCCAAATAGGTTTTGGAACAATTTTACAACCAGTATATTTCATCTTGACTATATAAAAATTATATACAAAATAGCTATTGATACAATCTAAAATATTTAAAAATTATAGCTTATGTCATCCGCGTATGATGTAGCTTCCCGTAGGTGGGAGAAATTTTAAAACCACTTCAGTAGTATCAGAGCCTATTCAATTCAAACAAATGATCAATCTTTTCCTCTTTAGAAATTATATATTTGAATTATTTAAATTTGACTTTGAATTTACTGCACCGCACATGTTGTTACATAACAACAACTAAATATTATGTGACATGCAATAAATAAAATATTATTAATATCGTAATAATATGACATTAGTATAGAGACCACAAACATTGGTGGAATTTATTAAACTTATATTGGATGCTTTCCAGACTTCGGATCAGGCTAGGCTTCGGAATGGCTACAGTACCGTAGATAGATAGATAACTCTTTTTTGTTGACATTACACTATTTACAGAAACAAACATAAATTAAACTTAATTAAAAAAAAAATGAAAACATCTCGACATTAATGTAAACGGCGTATACCTCACGCAACTGCGCTTTACTGATGATAATATTATTATGACAGAGTCACTGAAGGATCTACATAAAATGCTGCATAGTCTCAATGCTGCCTTCAGACTTCTGGGTGTCGGGAAAAATGGACAAAGCTAAAATCATGTTCAATTCACAAGTCACCGTAGAACCCGTCTATGTCTTTGGTGTATTACTCGAGGTTGCCCAGGAATATATCTTTTTGGGCAAATACTGCAGTTAGATAGAGAAAACTTCGAGCGAGAAATCAGCAGGAGAGACCTGGACTGGGCAGCATTTGGGAAGCTGCGTAATATCTTTTCTTCTACACTGCCACAATGCCCGAAGACCCAAGGCGTCCTATCAGTCATGACCTATGGAGCCGAAACATGGAACATGAAAGTGAATCCCACTCACTACATTTCACTCAGCGAGATATTCTCAGAGTATCTCTAAGGAATAAAATCCGGAATGAGGTCATTTGGCAGGAGACTGAAGTGATAGATGTCATCCAGAAATGCAGCAAGTTGAAGAGGCAGTAGGCAAGCCACAACTATCGTATTACCGACGAGAGGTGGAGTTGCCGGGTTCTCCAATGGCAACCACGTCTCGGCAAACGTGGCGTTGGATGGCCCCTGAAAAGATGGACTGACGACCTCAGAATCGTACCCGGCTTTAGATGGATAAAGTCCTCAGGAGATCTTGTTTTGTGGCGCATTTTAGAGGAGACCTACGTCCAGCAGTATACTGCAATAGGCTGATATAATTATGGTAACGATAGTCTTTACGAACGCGGAAAAAATATATTTAATATTTCTCACATTCAGAAATATCAGTGATATACGATATCCAAAAAGTCCCCCGCTGCGTCTAGTCTGTCTAAATGCCATAAGCTCAACCAGTCTCAACCAGTCTTGGCCTTAAATATATTAGCATACGTAATAATTAAGATTTCATTATTTTTGCTTCCGTAGTAGATAGTTAAATATAGATAACTGAATTATATAGAAAAAAGAACAAATTGGTTGCTATCTACAAAGTTTTATCATTTGCTTCTTGTTACTTTAAAAGTTGAAGGCTTTATTGTATTAGCTGTTTCTTTAAAAAATATAGACCCTAATTACAATTTACAGGTATATTAGTTATTGTCAGCAAGTAAACTTTGTCAGAAACAGACGTTATGTAAACTTCACTGTTTGGCTATAATAAGATAGTTTAACCATAGAATACACTAAGAGGTACACTAGATAGAATACACTAAAAGGTACACTAGAAGCCGGCGCTCGGCGATCACGCTAAGGTTGTCAACTTTGGCTTATGCACAAAAAAGCTATTGTAGTAGTGGCACTCTTATTATTGTTGTTGTTGTTTGATTTATTTTTGAGAATTAAACAGAAAGGAAGGAAATATAAACTAATAATAACTTAAATATTTCAATTGTAATGATATTTGGGCATTGCCGAAATGCACAATTACTATAATTTAAAGCATAATAAATCCATTTTAGACCTAAATCTATCTAATGACACAAAAAACAACATATTATCTACACAATTAAAAAATATTTTTTCAGCTTGCGTAATTTGGTGACGTGAATTTGCCTAACAATATGTAGCCAAGCAATCATTCCGCGAGTTTCATGTAATTGTAACAGATTATACGAGTATGTTATCGATGCGTCTTTTATATTTCTATCCATATAATTAACTTAAAGCTGCTCACAGGGGAAAACAAATTATTATCTACTATTAATATTTCTACTTATATATATTTTGCCATTACGTGTTGAATATAAACAACCGTCTACCGAACAGTTGTAATACAAATGTAAAAAAAAACATATTTATAATAGAAGTAATTTGTGAAGAAACATTTGAACTTGTAAACAAAAAAGGATGATTTATCACGTCGTTTTCCCTCAAGACATAATAGTATATTAAACATGCCTAAACTCAAAAAAGAACTGATCAAA